CAATGCTGCGAGGCCAGGCCAGACCCTGGACCGTCCAGATGGACGGTTCAGCCTCAATCGGCGGGCGGCAGCTTCAAGAGCGCCGCCAGGCCCAAACGAAGTGTCGTTTGGGCCTACCCGATGGGTGCTGGTCCAAAATCAGGCCTTTAGGGCCTGTAACCCCAAAAGGTCGGGCCTTTAGGCCCTGGTGTGTCCCTCCGGCCCTAAGTCGGGTCCGGTAGGACCCGTGTGAATCGAAGATGTAACAATAGTCAGTGGATGTCAGTTTGGACTCTGGAGTGCCTGCAATGCTATTAGGGGGCCTGCTGTGTTTGGGATGCCTGTGCCTGTGTGTTCCCTGGGTGACGACAGACGTTCTGCTGCGTGTCCTCCTGGCTTCCTGGTTTCCCGGCTCCGATGGTGGTGCGAACCTACAGTCATCTGCGTTCTACAGTCTACTCGTGGCGTGAGTAGGTGATGTTCTGGTTTGGTCCTTGGTGTATGAGTGGACTGCCTTCTTGGTGCTGCCGGGCTGCCTTGTTGCCTGTCTGCTTTGCTGGCTTGTTGCCTGTTCCTCATCATGCTGCAATGCTGCTGGGCTTGTCGTTTTGGCTGCCCACGCGCCTCCCCTGTGCCATCCAGTCTTACGTACCTTGCGGCTTGTAATGTCCCCTGCTGGCCGCCATCCACTTAAAACAGGGGTTAAAGGTGATCATGATCCTCACCCTTGCCTTGCTGCTCATGATATCACCTGCTGGCCGTCCACTTAAAACAGGGGTTAAAGGAAATCATGACTCAAAACATCAATATGGGGATTCCACACACTGCCAAGGAGTGCACACAATATCGCCAGTCAGTGGTTGCCTGTTTGGACTCTGGAGTGCCTGCAATGCTATTAGTATGTTTGGACTCTGGACAGTGTCAAGGCTTCAGCCTCGTGATGAGTCGGTGCCACTCCGATGAAACAGTCTGTGACTATCCTGGTGTTTTTCTGTCATACTTTGTGTTTTTTTTTTCCCCATACTTTTGTGTTCATTCTTGTACTTGTGGCTTTTTTTTTTTTTGTTGTTGTTGTTGTTGCCTGCCAGACTGCCAACCCCCCGATTGACATTTCCAAGAGTCTTGTGCATCATATTGATATCTGTTTACTCAAGAGATATCTGAGAATTATTGTCTTCTAAGTCTTCGTGCATGGTTTTCGCCTGTGTGGTCAAGCGCCAAGTGCCCTCAATCCTTTTTATAGATTACAATATATTTGCGTAATTGTGCCGCTCTAGCGGCAGACGGGTGTGTGGGCACTTGGCGCTTTACCACACAAACGTGGCCAACCTTGTAGCTTCTACTATATTGCCTATCTATACTTTTTTCCTTTAATGGATGGTTTGAGCAATGATTCGCAAGTCAATCACCCTTAACCTCTATACTTTTTTCCTTTTATGGATGGTTTGTGCAACGATTCGCAAGTCAATCACCCTTAATGCAATGAGCCCAGACGTGATGATACTCGTCAACATTACCAGTCCCTATGATTATCGATCTGCTGATGAAATGACAAACAATCGTAATATGTGTGATGATAGAATGAGGTGAGAATCATACACAGACGAAGGAGGAGAGAGGGAGAATAGACAAAGGAGAGAGAAGAAGACAACAGCCCACTTCTACTTCGGGTTCCTCCTCCTCCTCGCCACCTCATCAATCAATAGACTGAATACAATGTCTGAAGTTCCTCCTCAAGGTGCCACGTGGCACGTCAATCTGTCTACATCAGCAAATGGAGAGTATCGTCATCAACCAGGTACGTATCCTCGATAACCACAGTCTTGATCTCCTTCCGAAGTGACGAAGAATCAGAACAGCCTCATCAACCTCGCAGCCAGCCACGTTATACAGGTGGCAGCGGCCACGTCAGCAACGGCGCGTGGCAGCTGCCACGTCAGCATGCCCAGAAGACCATCGCCAGCCAGCACCTTGCCAGCCAGCAGCGCCTTGCTGTCCTCCTCTGCCAGCATATAGCCGG